CGGTGGAGGAGGATCGGCGTGCATGGAGTGCGCGCACCGAGCGACAGCCGTCCGACCGAGCGGTCGGCGTGGCTGATACCGCCGCCTATCTGGGCCGCGGCGCTGCGGCTCGGACCAGCGCCGAACGGACTGGAAACGAGAGGAGAAGAGAGGCTGACATCTTTCCTCCGGATCATGACTATTTATAAGGAAGTGTAGGCGCCTGAATGTGGCGATTCAAGTCCACCATCATCATTTTGGGTTGCGTTGAGCGAGACGAGGTGTGGACGATGAACATGGCCCTTGCTAAGCGGGAGAGATGATATTTGTCTGGACGACTACGATTAGTTTTCCAAACGTAACTTACGATGGGCTTTCAGCACGATTGTTACTACCATGTTCGCGAGTTGTGATGCCTTGTGTTGTGCATTTAGGGGCTTACAAGCGTTTCCGTCACTGACCGGTACGTACGTGCCGACGTTTGTACTTTGGTTGGCGTTGTGGCTCCAGGCTCAACTGGTGAGATATGCGCCCATGTGTCCCTCGTATGTAATTGTGTACCTAGATCTCGCCCTGCACTGAGATCACTTGGCCAATGAGTGATGATGGATCAATACAGAGTTCTCACTCTGCCTTTTATTTGTTTATGCGCTGGTAACCAACGTACAGTCAGTCTTGAAAGTACCGTGCATCGGTGCGGTGGATCCAGCTAGCCCGACCGAGGAAGGGCTGCTAAATTTGAGAGGCAGTGAACCATTTGACATCATCATCCATCCCCCAGGTCAAATGGTTCAGTGACTGAAATTTGGCAGCCCTTCCTCATGAGTCGGGGGCTTGATGGATCCACTGCCCGATGCGCGGCACTGCCAAGACTGACTCTACCCCCTAAAGTAGCCGCTACTCCCACGCAGATCGTCACGTGCCACCTTTGTATTCCAGCACAGCGGCCCAAATAGGTCACCAAGTTACGATAGTGACCTTACCACAGTAAAAGTAACGGCTCTCCCTTATGACTCTGAATGAGGGAACGACTCCTTAGGAACCTTGTGGCAAAGCTAGCATAGAGCGTGAAACCCAACCACAGTTGGCAAGTGTCGTGCGATGACCTAAGATCATTTGTGTGGCTTATGTCGAAAATATCTACATTGCGCAGCGGTTTTCGAGTGTAAGGATCGGCCGAATTCCAAGTCAAGGCGTACCATCGGGTGGCTCGTAAGCTGTAGTAAATTTTCGTGTAAACTGGAAACCTCTTCTCAATATGCAACCCCGTTGGACCTCCAGAGCATATTTTAAGGGAATTTGACTAGGGGACAACCTGGAAAATTGTCTTTAATAATCCATTAACCCTCGCCCGTATTGGTGTTTTCCAACTGCGAACGTAGGTATATGGGGGTGGGGGGTCCGTTGGACCCTCCCCCTTGCCGTGTCGCCCCTGATCGAGCTAGAGCTTCGCGGAAAAAAAAACGACCGTATTGCCCGTGATGAAAGGAAGCCGATGATACCCAATTTTAAGGTCCTAGGTCATCAGTTGACCTTCCAGGTCAGGTCAATGACCCAAACGTCGGGAAAATCGGAACCTGTTAGAGTGTCGTAAAGGGTGGCTGCTAATGCTAGGGTTTTTACGGGATTGCTGATCACGAATATCATGTTAGTTATGAATGGTTATGATCATAGATGATGTCTTCATGCATTTAGGCCAGGTCAGGTCAACCAGTAAGGGTTTTGCCGGGTATTCGTAGTACCTACCTAGGTGGCAACCGCCTCTGACAGTTTCGTAACATGTTACGAAGGCACCAAAAGTACTTCGTAAACGATCAAATGGTTGCTAAATTCGAATTCAATAAAAAAAACTAGCCTAGAAAGTAGAAACATAAAACTCGAAAATGTGCACCGAGGTCATCAAAGGTAAATTGCCTGACCTGACCTTCCGGTGACCTTGACACCCACCCTAATGCATGGGAGCAACATCATATCCCATGTTTGAACGTTTGAAACCACGAAAAGACTGCACACGCGCGGCTAATGCGAGGCGACATACGCCGAATCGCGATCCCGGCCAAACATGGTGCCATGGTGCTAGGCCGCCGGTGCATCTGAAAGAACTGTGGTGCCCCTGACAAGCCTGAAGTTCCAACGACAGGCCCGTGGTTTATAGTGGGCAAATCTCGACGACTGGGGGGGGGGGGCAATCCTGTTGAGTGCGGGGGCATTTGCCCCCCCCCCCAGTTAACATGTTAAAATAGGCCCTGGGTCAGGTCAACCAGTAGGGGTCGTGACGGGTATTCGTAGTAGGTGTCAAACGCCTCTGACAGCTTCGTAACATGTTACGAAGGCAGCAAAACTGCTTCGTAAATGTTCAAATGGTTTCTAAATTCGAATTCAGCTCTAAAAACTAGCCTAGAAACATGTAAAACTCGAAAAAGTGAACCAAGGTCACCAAAGGTCAATGAACTGACCTGACCTTCAGGTGACCTTGACAGTTGACATCCACCCTAATGCATGGGAGCAGCATCGAATCACATGTTTGAACGTTTGAAACCACGAAAAGCTTGCAAACGCGCGGCTAATGCGAGCCAACATACGCCAAATCGCGATTCCGGCCAAACATGACCTCGAGAAATAGGTCACAGGTCAAAGGTCACTTGGGTCAGGGTCATGAAATTTTTAGAGTAGGTGTAAAATTGATCAACTCGAGGGTACTGAAAGTTTCGTCGCGATCGGCCGCTTTTTCGCGAGTTATTCGCGAAAAACCATGGGGGGTCTATCCGACCCCCCTACACATGCGAGGGTTAAAGGAAATAGTTCACTTTTAGCATGGGGTTTTGAACTGGAATAGCAGCTTCGTAGCAAGAGCTGAGGCTAGCGCAAATCAGGAGCTTTTACGGCTCAACGATCACCCAAGACGAAAGCAGGGCCGCGGCTAAGGAACTTTGACTACTGGGGCAAAAGTGTGTTAGCCCGCGCCCTGCTGGGGGAGGGAGGTGTTTGAACATCCCCTCTCATTGCTGTTTTTCGCGGATATCTAAAAAACGGCGGCGTGGAGCGCCGCCGTTTTCGGCACACCTTATCATCAACCAATTCTACACATGTTGTAAAAATTTCAGACCAAGGTCATTCAAGGCCAGGTCACTACAAGTGACCTCACCTCATAAAATGTTTCGGTGTATGCCATAGCTACACCGAGTGACCGATCGCTTTGAAACTTTCAGCGATTGATAAGGGCAAGAAGAGCATGTACAAAATGGTCATCTCGGAATTTTCATATCGGTGACCTAAGGACAGGTCAATTTTGAGACCTCTCCAGGTATTTTAAGTCAATGGGAGACAATTTTACCGCCTCTTTCGAACGAAAGTCATTTTAAACACTCTCAAACACTGAATTACAAGTAGGTTTGACACAATGAACATGAAAATGGTGTCCGTGACCCCTGTTTATACCCCTGAGGTCATCTCAGGTCATGGGTGTAGGAGCGCCAAAAATATTGGTGAAGGATGTCACCTGAACCTTCGGAGAGGGTGCAGGACCTTACCGCAGTGGAGGGGGGGGGGGGGGATTTCGCCAACTCCTGTTTTTTTTTTCTCGCAAATGTCTCACGCCAATCGCCATTATCATCTAATTAACGTCAACTTTTCAGTACACGCCTAAAATTGAATTTTTAGGTATCCAAGCATACCTTTGGATACCTACCAAAGGTATCCACCATCCAAGCATACCTTTGGAACCTAAAGGTATGCTCCACTGCATTTTTTTCGTGACCAAAGTCTTACAACTTTCCCACGAGTAAAAACAAGCCAATTTATTTCGATATTCACGGCATTTACTGAGACACATTTATACGTTTACCAACTTCAATACAGTTTTCGGCTTTACTGTATGCCTGGCCTATTCAAATACATTAGCCTGAGGGGTGTGGTAATAACTGGTGTAAGCAAAGTGACCACGGTCAAAAATGCATTACCAAGTCAACATTTTGGGATGGCCTCGTTCAAAAAACCGCTAAGAGCTTCGGTCTAGACAATTGTTTTATCATTGGCATACAGTAAAATACATACCAAACTCGGCCGGTGATAACTTGTCAAGACCTCAGTCCTTACTGATTTTTGAACTCGGCCTTCGGCCTCGTTCAAAAATTCAGTTAGGAATGGACCTCGGTCTTGAAAATTTATTTACACCGGCCTCGTTCAGTATTATATATTACCTATCATTTATTAAGAATTGTGAAAAAAGGTGGGCATAACGCTTCATAACTGAAAGGATGGGGTAATTGGGTACCTGTTGCCGTTTTAGCCTTTTTGTTCATCCCATTCGGCATTGCTTTTTTTAACATTAGGTCGACCGTCGAACCCAGTCGTTCCAGCATTGGTGAAGACCCTCACCTGCATTGCTCAAGATTGGTGAAGGATCCTTCACCAATCTAAAACTTTGGTGAAAGGTATCCTTCACCAAAGAGATACGTTGCTACACCTATGTCTCAGGTCACGAATGGTATCCAACAGTTTATTGAGATATACTTATTTTGTGGAGGCTGGGTAAAGCCTGCCCACTACTGGGGCATTCCTTGACTCTACTGGGGCATTTGCCCTAGTAGTTAACATGTTAGCCGAGGCCCTGGACGAAAGTATTAATCCATTCCGTAAAAAGTTCCTTGCAGAGGAATGCGTGCCTTGCTGAGGCAGAGGAATGCAGCACGTCAACGTCATTAGCGGCGGAACACCTTCAATTAGGTGTGTGTGTGTGTGGGGGGGGGGGGGCACTGCCGACTTTTGGTCCCATTCTTTCCATGCAACGCTCATAGGGCTAATGTTAAAATGCCAAAATCAAAGGGGGGCATGGTGCTCCGGTGCCCTCCGTTCCGCCGCTTATGGACTCATCTTCGGCCAATTAGCTTGCTGCTTGGCGCTTGCAGGCTGCAGCCAATGCAGCATGCGTAGGTAGGTTTGAACCCCCCCCCCCCCACGGTGGCGGAGCCCATGACCCCCGGTATCACCCCATCCTCGGCCCTCGCCAGTCGCCACTGCTCACCGCCGCGGGAGTCGCCGTATACGCCACACGGTGCTCGCCGCTCGCTTCGAGTAGTTCTTCAACCACTCGCTAGGTGGCAGGGGTGAGTGTTCCTCATTTTGGCGCACTCAGCTGTCAACGGAAGTCGGAACACGTGCGTGGGGAATCGGAAACGCGCGTGTGCTGCTCGTCTCCGGATAAACGCCGTGCCGTGTGATATCTTTTTGTGGTGTAATATTGGACAGAAGGAGTGAAACATTTAGCTTCACTTATCGGTGTTTCCACAATGGCAAAGTGCAATGAGTTTGCACTAGGACACAGCAAAGCCGTTGTGGAAGAATGAATGTGACACTGACGTGAGCACGTCCGTTGTGCGAGGACTTGGACATTGGTGACACTGCAGCGTTTCTTCTACCAATTACCTTTGGGAATTCAGGTAAGGCGATATATTCATAATTATTTTTGGAGAGAGAGAGAGAGAGAGAGAGAGAGAGAGAGAGAGAGAGAGAGAGAGAGAGAGAGAGCGCACGCGCTCGTATGGGCACGTATGATTGCTTTGATATCGCGTTCCTTGAGTCGCTAGCAGGGACGCAGCAACTTCAATAGGTGTTGGTGGGACTGGAGGGGCATTTTACCTCTCCTGGCGCTGCTGTCAATTTGCGGTTATTTGAGATGAACCCGCGCCGCGCTGGTGGTGCGAGTCTTCCGCGTCGTGCTGGGTGGGTTAGGGGAACGCCTCCCGTTTTCACGCCTCCGGTCTAAGTCGGCTCCTGCCTCCTGCCTCCTGGGCCACGTAGCAACACGCTAGCGGCATTTGAAAGAGCGTCAAAATTAATGACGGAAATCCTTGTCATTTTTTAGGTCAGGTCAAAGCTCAGGTCACCAGAGGTCATCAAAGGTTAAATTTTGTCTACTTCAACAATTTTCGAAACACCCGACGCATAACTCGGGAACCAATAGAGCTACAGCGCCGCGGAATAGCCCATTCGACAACGCTTTCACAGGCCTTTGTGAGTATTGTTCTTAGATTTGACCTTAGGTCAACGTTTTAGTCTCCAGAGAGTAAGGACTAAAAATTGCCGCTTTACGAATACTGTTTTTTTTCTCGGTAAAAACTTTTGACCCAAGAGAGCCACGACATTACTTTTGCCAGCATCGTGTTCCTCTCTTTGAGACGCGTCGAATGAACATTGAACTATATGTTGACCTTGAAGGGTCATTTTGAAAATTTGACCTCAGTTCAAGGTCATGACCTGACCAAAAAGGGTCATTCTGAATGTCAGTCGATTTGTATCGTCGAGCTGAACACATCTGACGTGTTTGCACCGTTCTAGCACGTCTATCAAAAGTTATAGTCGAAAAACTGTTCGTGACTTTTCATGACCTGAAATGACATCAGGGGCGCATAGAAGGGTCACGGATGCAATTTTCCGATTCAGTGTGTCGTGTTTACCGAGTAACCGCTGTTTGAGAGTAGAGGAGAACCGTCCAAAACGCCCCCTTAAGGAAAAGCGGTGTGTCACCACTAAACTGGTATGTACCTAATGACAAACCATGCGTCATTAGGTATTTTGTAATTCCGACTATTGAAAAAAATAATAAGCAAGGCACTGGGATGTTGCATTCCAGCAAGAATGAGCTTTTGCAAGACCTCTGCGAACGGGGCGTTTTACAGCACGGGTGTTGTAAAACGTCCCACTTTGGTTTTCACCTGTTGATGAGTTTCGTTTTTCATAGATATTGCAATATTCCATTTTCAGCCGTGCTACTCTGTTTAGGTAAGTAGAAACGTATGAAGGTCAGTAGCATGGCCTTCGGAGAATAGAGTTAGATCATGGAGTAGGTACCGTTACGAAAACAAACGATGCTTCAGCAATTGCAAGCAAAGCTGTCTCGCTCACGGCTCAATAAACTGACCCATAAACTGTTTTTATCACCTCTTTACCCGACGGCAACAATGCATCACAATTAAGCCACTTTTAGAATGTAAGACATTAAAGATGGTATGGGCGTTTTAGAAACCCGGCCGGGCCAAGTGCCGGTGCGTTTTGTGAATTTTACAATGCCTGCGTTTAGCGGCATATCTGCAAATCAGAAAATATTGCACAGTCATTTTGCACTGCTTTTGGTAAACTATTCTTGCATACCAAAAGCATAGAGATCTTATATACATAAGATGTATATAAGATCTCTATGACCAAAAGCATGGATGGGATAATAATGGATTGGTGTCTTCGCAGTTTTTGGCGACATTGACATTGAGCTCAGGTCTGCCATCTAGCGGGAGAATTATCGTAAGTTAGGAGCAAGCCGAGTGAACGCCGCTGATTAGCATTGTGACACACGGGAGTGCGGTGTAGTAGCAGGCTTGTTGTGCAATTTTTCTAAAGATTATGTCTTTATATGTCAGTAAAAGCGAAGAAATAATTAAATTTATGTGCAGGGTCAGTAATAAGATAAGCGGTTCCCTGTTATTTCCTCTTTAAATCATGAAACAGGGAGTTATTGGAGACTTCGCCAGCACGTGTCGTTTACGCGCTATTTTTCACACGAGTCTTTACTTGGCCTAAATCAAACAAAGTGTCCGATCAAAGAACAAATTGAACGTACGTAGGTACTATCTATAAGTCTAATGAAAAAGTTAAACGGAATTGCTAACGTCATTGCCGCTCAATGTCATTCAAGACGCTCTACGAAAAGGACCCAACCAGTGCTGCGTAGTCGATGAAAGTTCAGTGACTTTGGCTCCAACTCCGATTCCGGTATCCAAATATCGACTCCGACTCCCCCGAGCAGAACTGTCGAATCACACAGACTCCGACTCTGACTCCGACTCTGCAGCCCTGGTAAGTCTGTGGAGTCGATGACTTTTCGGTGACGTTCGACTCATACTCCGACTACAGCTTTTAAAAATCAACCGACTCCGAGTCGGAACAGAACCGCTGGCTCTGACTACAACTCCGCAGCCCTGGCCCAAGATAGCCGCCTAAAACAACTTTAATGTTTGATCTTCTTCGTACATTGTTAATGTTATTTTAAACAAGGAGTGGAAATGGGAGACGAAGCCTTCACAAACAAGGGTTTCCTGTTGCGGATCAAGCAACTGCTGGAACAGAAAGGCATAAACACCACGCATCTCATTTCATCGTTTTCCTAACGACTCCAATGTAAGCACTGATCAATGCAGTGCGAGCATCGATGTGACATTTGTGTACCAAGTTTGAGTGTTATCCGCCCAGCCGTTCTTGAGATATGGAAGCGGCACCCGCACGTGCGCACGTGCAGTAGCACTCCCCTAGTGACACATGGAAATGCATTGGCCACTGGGTGCCTAACTATTGACGAGGTTTTACTGTAATGGGCCCAGCCATTGTAGAGTTACTTTATGTAGAACAATTTCGACACCCCTAAGTTGGTACGTGACACGTGCCGTAACATTAATTAAGATGAAGAAAATCGGGCGAAATTCGGAGAAGGAATAAGCCTACCAAATATGTATGACATATTGTCAAACTGCTGTACCATTGTGAGTAAATGGCCATATAAAAGCTCGTACGAGCCGATGGGACTGGGCGTTTCAATACCTACCTACCCGTCTATACCTACCCGTCTTACGCACTTTATTTTCGTTATTACCTAAAGGCTGCTGCCTGCTTGACGTTTTTGGCTTCAAGCATTTAAGACTTTTTTGTCGTCTCAGGTCCAGTAAGATTACCTCCAACTCGTGCGAATATGCACTTCGAGCCAACTAACACACCACACCCACGTGTGTCATAATGCTGAGAGATGGCGTTCACTCGGCTTGCTCCTAACTTACGATAATTCTCTCGCTAGATGGCAGGCCTGATCCCAATGTCGCGGATCCCAATGTTAAAGGGACAGTATCACCATTTTGATGAAATTTGACATTGCATAGGCCCCACCTTTCTGGTCCGGGAACTGAAGACCGATCCTCGAAGCTCCACACCGTTATCCCGCTATCGCCGCTCAAAGTACGAAAGGTGTACCACACTTTGAATCGTGCTTCACTATCTTCACTGTTTAAATGTTTGCGCCGTTTTGAATTGACCGCCAGTAATAAAACTTTTACCCTGGTCATTTCATCAAATTTTATAAAGCCAAAACGTTTTTCGCACTTATTCATCACCGTTAAATTCATTAAATAGTCGTAGGCAATTTCCGCTGTTTCCTTCGGATTCTAGCGGCTCAACAAAGGAATTCCTCCAGCTTGAATCACAATCTCCCTCCAATGTATGACGTTTATCACGTGATTGTCACGTGATATTTTCTCCCATTGTCAATTGTCACGTCCAATTGTCACTCCCTCCAATTGTCACGTTATATTTTTATAGGCAATACCTAAAGCTACCTCTCCCTAAGGACAACTCAATCAGAAGAACGACCGCGTAAGCGTAGCGTCAATTGTATTATCTGCGCCAGTTCTGTAGTAATTTTGCATGCTTCCAAACTGGCGGCCATGCTTGTATAGTGGTGGTTCACTCATGAAAATGAATCATGAAAATGAAATGTGGTTGCAATATTTTTCACCGAGTTCGGTCCTCAAACTATGTTTTTCTGATTCAGAAAAATAAGAAATGCTAGTAAAAAAAAATCAGCTCCATACATGGATTTTTTTTTTTCGATGATACTGTCCCTTTAACGGAAATTTCTGAGTATGAGCGGCCGGCCGGCCGGCCGTGGTCACGCTTTTGCGAGGCTTATATCTCAGCAACCACTTGACCGATTTACACGCGGTAATTTTTGTAGGGTAGCTTCATTCCTTCTACCAAGTATTTGACTATTCCTGATGCATGTGGGTGACCCCTTATGCACGTGCCACGTGCAAAACGAAGAGGTGTCCGTTTTGTAATTGTTACAATATCTCTGTAACTACTTGGCCGGTTGCGCTGAAAGTTGGCATGCAGGTAGGCACCCACTTGGCACTGCATATCCATGTGCCAGAGTTGGGGTGCTGCTGCACGTGCGCACGTGCAGGGGTCGTTTCCAGATCTCGAGAACGGCTGGACCGATTGCGCTCAAATTTGGTACACGGTTAGGGACCAGTTAGTAGGGTGCCGTGCACAAGTCAGTTGGGACCCATTTTGCACGTGCGCACGTGCAGGGTGCCGCTTCCAGATCTCGAGAACGGCTGGGCCGATTGTGCCCAAATCTGGCACGTCGCTAGAGACCGGTTAGTAGGGTGCCGTGCACAAGTCAGTTGGAGGTACCCCCTCGCAATTTCGCACGTGCCAGGCCCACCCTCTCGCTCGCTCCGTTAGTCGCCCCAAAAGGCGTTATACTGGTATCATCCATGCCAAAAGCAACTCAGATCAAAGAGACAACTGAACAGTGAATTAATGTCGTTTTTATGACATATATTTTTTAAAGAAATCTCATGAAATCATTTTTTTTTTGCTATAAAATCAGCCCAATGAT